TCGAAGATTCATAAACTACCCGAAAATAAGCAACACTATAACAAAAATATGTTGCTTATTTTCGGAAGAATACGGTAATATATAGAAATCCCTTGTAATTTCTTCTTACATTTCGTATTCTTACATAATTTCTTTTCTGATAAACCAGTTTTGAAAATAATTCCTGCTAAAGGCTACCTTTTCGATTCTCTACACATTTCTCATATTTTCTGCTGTTTTATCCATTTTCTTTCTTTACGTGATTGGTTTAGTGAGTTCAATAATCAAAAGTATTATCTCGTTAAGAGATTTTCTTTTGCTTCTCAGAACATTGCATTAAAAATATCACAATTGGTTTATTTACATACAAAGAACTTCGCTTTTAGGGACATCAGAAATAAGATACAAACTTTAATAATTTACTGAAAATTAGGATAAATATATTATTCCTTTCTCTTATTAAAATTTACAAATGAATGAATAAATACTTTTGAACACTTTTTTTTAAAAGATTTATAAAATGATCTTTGAGTTATAATTAATCATATCCTTTCTAATTATCCATGTCGTAGCCTTAATTTTCTGATTACATGATTTTGAGGTTATGTTAAAAGTATGTTCGTTATTCTACAGGAAAAAGCGGTCATTCATGAGTACTATCGGGAGACGTCGAGAACAAAATTGCCTGCTAGTTATGGCGAAAATTATCAAGTGATTCCAGTTGGAAGACATATCTTGATACTTTTCTCGTATATTTACTCTAATAACGTTATCCCCGCATTAATAAGCTCGAGAAAGATTATTCATTATGCCAAAAAATTTTTGAACAATTCAATCTGGCTTCCTGCGATGCTCGATACTGGTGTCTTGTAGATTTCTTTTATACTACTGTTGAAAGTTAAAAAAGATATGAATTATAAGTTTCATAATTTTTTATTTCGATTTTAAAGTTACTTACGTGATTTGAATCCATTTTTATTAATATAATAGTTTATGAAATACTATTATGAAAATATTTCCACCCACCCTATGTATAATATTCATTTACACAATAATAAAGACTAAATTTGGTAGTTGGTAACCGGATCGATTTTTAAAATGATTGGTAGTCGAATTAGAGTGTTCTATAAGATTTTATTGAATATCCCATTGACACATTTTTAATATCAAGAGTTTATATTCAAACATCCAACATACGGAATATTAGACAAAATATAACTTTTATATTTTCTTTAAAAAATTTTAAAGTATAATTTTTTTATCATGTAGGCTATTGCTAATGTGATCCGATTAACCAACTGATATTAAAAATATTCTAATTAAAAAATCTCTATCAAACGATGCTAATTGCAATATCAGTTTTAGTGAATAATTATTGTCGGATGCAGGTCATATGCTATTTCCTCCAGATTTAGTAAACATGCTAAAACTTTTGGGTTTTTTTTTTGAATGATTATTTATTTTTTTAAAAAAAATATTTTCTCTTAATTTCGGATTAATTTAATTTTCAATGTTCGATCGTTTTTTAAGATTATATATAATTGAATCATTTTTATTTATATAATTAAAAAATACGTGGCGAACTATCCGAATCACTATTTATTAACCGTTTTTCGTTTCAAAGCCCAGTTAAAAACTTGAATTCACGAATTATTTGTTCACCAATCGGACATCTCGGAGGTCACGAGAAAAAGTGACATTTCGCAACTTTCACAATGATCCATCAATTATACTTAGTCAGGGTGCTTCCAAATTTATTATAAAATAATATTTCTACACTAATGGCACTTTTGGTAAATTTTTAACTGTTAACGAGAAAAAAATCATTTTTTAAATAGGTTGGAAATAATGATTTAAAAAATGCTATAAAGTTTCAGATCTACAGTACAATGGCTACCCCATCGTACCGTACCGATTTTCATCTACTCCAATAAAAAGCCTAAAAAGATAAATAACTTACTGAAGTAACACGACTTGATACGTTGCATTCGCATTAATAAGGTTTTAATAGCAACGTATATTAATTGTAAATATATAACGCCGATCTTTTTTGGATTTGAATTTGTCAACGAGCAGATTCTTTTAATCACGAAATGTCGCATCGTCACGAATTTTTTTTTTTTTTAATGAAATTTCCATTGTCACGAAAATTCAAATCAACAATAATTTTTCTATTGATTTTTACAATCAATAATTGATCATTCGAATTAGTTGCATCATTTTTCATCGAATTAATTCGAACTTTTTGTAATTTGAATTTTAATTCGAATTTTAAATTTGACTTAATATGAATGAATTTGTAATACGAAGCGCAGCCTATTATTTATCTTGTCTTTGGTAAAATACTTGACCTTTGACATATCGGACATACGAGCCGCAGTCAGGATATTCGGGCGACCGATCACTAGAACCTAAGTAAAAAAAAAAAAAAACTTGACCTTTACTAATCATTAATCTTTTATTATAGAAATGTACATTGCATTCTAGCAATATTTCACTAACATTTCCATATTAATCATTTTCAATGTTTTATACTTCCAGTTTAGTAATATCATGCACAATTGTGCAAAGATCGACTTGTGTAATATATGTATTATATACATTCTATTTAAACCGGAGTTTACATTCCGTTTATCTTTCTTTTTTTTGAATTATTTTTTATTTCATTGCAATATGGCCTTCGTACGTAGAGAATTAATTCACGCTACAATTGATAGAGCATACGCAATAACCGATTATAAAATTTACACTGACCCAGATAAGCAGGATGCATTTAGACAACAAACAATTCATGCTGACAAATCTCTCACGAACGAGGAAAAATCAGAGGCAATAAGATTATTAATTGAAAGTTATGATCATCACAGAATTACTTTAAATCAAGGAATAAAAAGTGTTTGTGAAAACTGCAAACAAAAATGTTTAGCAACAACATATTGTGAGAATTGTATTCGTAATTATTTAATATCAAAATTTTCAGAATGGACATCAGGAAATAATAAAATTGATAATTTAATACAGAATTGTCAGTCGGAAACGATTATTCCATATAAAATAGTTGAATGGATTCCATATAATAATATACAAAATATTAAATATTTAACTAAAGGTGGTTGCTCTGAAATTTATAAAGCAAACTGGATTAATGGATCTTATTTTAAATGGGATTCAATCGAACAAAAATTAATAAGATATGGAAAGGAAAATGTAATACTCAAAAGATTAGAAAATATTGAAAGTGCTAGTAGAACCTGGTTTGAAGAGGTATATAAATGAAAGTTATTATAAGAATTAATAATTAAAGTTTGTTAAATAAAAATATCTGATTATTTTATTTCTGTTTTATAGGCTAAAACTCAATTAAAATTCAGCACTAAAGCGGGATATTTCGTTGAAAGTCGTGGTCTTACTCAGGATCCATTAAATAAAGATTATTATCTTGTAATAGGTTTATATGATATGGATTTAAGAACATATTTACAGCAAAGTCATAATCAACTCACATGGAAACAACGAATTAATATCATTTCATACATAATTAAAGCAATTGATGAACTTAATATAAGAAATTCTATTCATAGAGGTTTGCATTTAGGAAATATATTATATTATAAAAAAAGTAATACGTGGCATATTAGTGATTTTGGATTTTGTGGCCCTGTTGATAAACCATTAGGAAGTATATATGGAAATCTTTCTTATATAGCGCCTGAAGTTATTTTTGGAAAAGGATATACTTTTGCCTCAGTTATTTATAGTCTTGGTATGCTTATGTGGGAGATTTCATCTGGACAATTACCATTTGCTGATTTTGATCATGATTATGACCTTGTGATGAAAATAATGAATGGGATGAGGCCAAAGGTAGTACCAGGAACTCCGGCAGAATATAAAAATTTAATGATACAATGTTGGGATGCTGATCCATTGAAAAGACCCGACATTGGTACCATTAAAAATAAAAATAATGAAATACGAAAATCATATTATCAAAATGAAAATGAAGAAACTGGCATTAATATTAATGGCATACTATTAAATGTAGAATCTAATATCAGCTCTACATCTATTAGTTCATTAGTTAGAAAATTTAGTAAAGTTCATATTTTTAAAGATTTACCTGAACCAAGAAATGCGACTGAAGGTGTTCTAATAATTGTATTCATTTAATTAATTAATTTAAAAAATTTTAAAATAATAATGATCACACCCAATTTTTTATGCTAATAGATACTGTACCTTTTTAAAATTAGATTATGAAAGTAATGATAGTAAGCAAAATAGTCTTACAATTCCAGATAGTAAGTAAAGTTCATATTTATTATTAATTTATTATTTATTGAAAGGTCATTCTTAGATATTAGTTATTGTCATATTTTGTTTTTTGCGTTAAGTCTATAAAATTTAACAAATAAAAATTTATGTAACTTTAAACTGACAGATATAAATAAGGGCAACTCTAAAAGGATTTCTTCATATGATTCAGATGGTAATAGCTTTTTCATTTATTATTATTATTATTAGCAGTTTATACTTAACATAATAAATTTTTAATAGAAAACGTTAAATCTAAGAAAACAAAACTAATTAATGAAAAAGGTATTTATTTGAATAAATAAAACTTTTTAAATATTTAAGATTAAATAATACTTTAATTTAGAAATCTGTATTAATCATATAAATAATGAAATTGAAATACCATATTTACATACTAGACAAGTAGATGAAGGTAAATAAAAATAAATAAATTTATTTAAACCAATTAAATTCTTTAATAAATTTAATTTATAGATGAAGAAATTTACAATAATCCAAATCTTCATTCAGAAGATCAAAATGAATTAGAAATATCTGAAGGTAAATAAAAACTATTTTAAATTGATTTTATACGAATAATATATTAAAATACATTTAAAACAAATTTATACAAAGGTTGAAATTGAAATTATATTATATTTAAAGTAACCATAATTTATTTTTATTAAGAATTATTTAAACACTAAGATTAGATAAGATAAAGTTTCTTAGTCTGTAATTTAAATAGTTCATAGAAATATAATTTATTTAAAGTTATAAAGTACCAATTTTTATCTTTGCAATAAACTTTGAACAATTTAAATATGAATTGTGCATAAAATTCATGAATTATAACGTATTGGTTGACTATTAGAAAATTAAAATTTCTTTTAAAATTGCATTTTCATTAATTACCTTTTATTCTGGATAACTATAATCAAAAGTTCGATTGTGAAATGGAATTTCAATAATAGTTCTCGATAACATGATCATCTATCCACCCGATTATATAATGGTTTATCAAATTTGACAATGAATTATAATTTATTATTTACCTGTACAGCATTTCTTGAAAATATAATTATGTATCTAGCAAATTCAATCTCTCTATACATATGGAGTATTATCATCTAATATTTAACTTTTAAAAATTCGCAATTATCAGCAAATATATTAATTGGAAAAAAATACTGCGTCGTGTTTATTACTATATTGGAAATTACAGAGGAATATGTCATGCTGTCAAAGAAAAATAAATCCATCGACTAAAAAAGTTTTGAATGTAAGTTTATTCCTATTGTCATTTCGAAACGCAATTTAACAATAAGAACGATGAGGAAAGGATTAGAAACAGAACTTTTTAAACTACTTTTTATTTTAAAATTTACTTATCATTATTTATTTTATTTTATTTAGACAAAATATCTGAAGAAGGTTGAATACATCTTCAAATTCAAGCACATCAAGAACAATAAGGTAGGCAGTTAAAAGTCCATTTTCAAAACAAGATGAACTGTAAGTGGGATGGGAAAGTGCTGATATAATCAGTGTATGATTTTCAAACCTAAACATATGTGCGGAAAATGCAAATTATATGATGAGAATATGTGCGAAAATTGTGATGGATAGTGCGCAAATATTATTTATTAAATATTTTACTAATGATTATAAGAAATGTAAGTGCGGACCGCGCACAAATATTTTTTGAAGCGTGCGGAAATTCACCAATAATGTGCACGCGCGTACATGTCCGCACTACCAAATAATACATTGGCTATAATGTCTTTTCGTATATCAAAGTAAGATGGATATTCTTTAAATAGCTGGCTTTGATTAAAAAAAAAAATACGATGTAGAGTATTTATATTATAAATCGGTATGATATTATAGTAATCATTACCCTACCTTATACTCTGAGTAATGTTCGGAAATCCAGAGTACACCAGGATTTTTCTTGCAGCAAGAAATAAACCGATGTATGCTGGATATTACTTTCATTTTTTTTATTTAGTGTTTTTAAAGGCTAAACAAAGAAAATTGGAATTGTAAATTAATATATTCGTAATTTTTATAACGATATATTTTCGAAAATATCGAAAGATAATAGTAGTAATTGGAATAGAAATTAATTTACTGTATTCTTTTTTTCATAATTATTTTTTTTAATAAATAAAAATCGCCCAAGAAATCCAAGCCGAATTTAATAAGAACGATAGACTTTCTTTCCGAGACTAACAAAAAGCAATCAACATTCCTTTGGCAGCAAATGTGGCGGAAGATAATTCTAGAATTATTCCAAATGCTCAGAATTTTAAAGAAATCTTTTTTTTTTTAGCATTATTCTGATTGTCATTTTTATTTCGTAGAAGGGAGAAAATTCTAAAAAAAAAAAATTTTTTTTTTTAATTTAATGTTAAATCTGGATTTATTTTACTAGCGAACAAGAGTAGACGAAAATAGTACGAAAAATTGTGCTAGTATTGGAATATCCTACCTCCGTATAAAACTTTCCAAATCTATTGAATTTATTTTTATTATTATTCAACATACATATCACCTCATTTAAGATCGGGACACTTTTGACTTTCAAATTTTTTTGGACTCAAATTATAATTTGTTTACAAATCTAGAAAAAAAGTTGTTTTTGTGTAACCAATCAAAATCATTTTCGAAAATCTCATAGAACAATGGTTAAATTGGCAAAGGTAAATTTGGCAAAGAACGAAGCACGATTAGTAAGTTATATTTATGCTAAAAAATTAAAGCCAAAATATCACACTTTGTCATTAATAGATTGTATAAATTAGTAAAAGAATGACAAGTAAAAGAAGCCTAAGCAAACAAACCCAAACCACCAAAGTTCCCGAACCAAAAGAACCCGAGGACAAAGGCAAGCAAGAGTTGAGAATAAAATTTAGGTTCAAATCAATAATCGAATTAATTAGTTCAAATATTATTTATGTCTTTATTGTATTGTAAAGTTTATTAATGGCCTTTTTTTAACCTTTGTTATAATTGATCATTGAATTCAAACAAATTGAGTTGTTAAAAATTTAGACTCTAATTATTGATAAACAGACGTTGAAAATTGCCAATTAAAATCTATAAAATTTCAAGGAAATTGTTAAAATTTGAATCCGTTTTACTAAAACAGCTATTAGTTGATTAGATTCAATATCCCTAAATACAAAAAAAAAAAAAAATTATCGAATAATAAATGTACGACTTATTCTTTAGTACAACAATTGAAACATTGATAGGTTATCATATTTAAAAAAGAAATCTTTTATTGAACTATTAATAGTAGGTCCAAAAATAACCGATTGTTATAATAAAAAAAAATTTTTTTTCCAAGATTTTCCTCAAACATTCATTACTTTATTTGAACTTAATCTAAAATTAGCCAAACCTGTATTTATGCAGGTATTAACCTTTTTTAGTAAATTTCTCGAAATTATAAAGCTCGGCGTAAGAAATATCATTTTAATAATGATTTTCGTTTTTTTAAGCAACGAAAAAAAGTATATATAAAGTGGTGGAATTCAAAGCTCCAACAATTCATTAAATCTTTCAAACTCAAATATTAGTTTTAAACAGCATTTCCTCAATTTTTACATAAAATAACCCTAAATCTTTTAATATCGATTTTAAAATTTCAATATGTCACAACCTGGCATTTTCACCAAATCAAATCTGGTTTATATACCGCTGTCAGTAACGACCGCTCACACGTTAAATTTCATATTTAATTCTCCATTATCTACATGGCAAGAATTTCCTCCAAAATTACCTACCTCAGTATATTCTTCAATATTTTTTATCCCATTATTATTGTTTTTATCACTTTCATTTGAACCAATTCAAACAAGCAAACGATTTTATACGTTATTATCTCTCGCTCTTATATTTGTTTCAATTCCAATAAGTTTTCGCGGAAAATATCCACCGACACTTCATAACGTTTTTGTAGCTTATGGAGCAATGTTTGGACTAAAAATGTTATTGTTCTTAAAATCTAATCAGTCATACTTGAATCAAGAAGGTTCGAATCAAAAGAAAGAATTTAGGTCATTCCTCTGGAAAATATTTAATTCTCGCTTTAACTCTTACATAATTCATCCAAAAAAGGATAATTCAAACTTGATTATTACATCACCTACAACTTCACAAATTAACAAAAAATTAATTAATCGCACTATAATTACCTTTACAAAATTTTGTCTTCTCGAACTTGTAACGTTCTTTTCAATTAAATATACGATGGTAATTCCAGAGAAACCATACCAACTTCGTTTAGTAGAATTTTTCACAAAAGGGATCCCTGCGGTTACAATTCCTTCAATGTTCCAATATTTAAATTTCCTTTTATTTGTATACCTAATGTTGTCAGTATATAGTTACGATATATGCACTATCATTTGTGTAACCTTCTACCGTTTATTCCTTCATTCCTCTTCGGAAGAAATCAATCGTAAACCTATTTTAATTAAATCTGGACTTCTTAATCCTTCCGAGTATGTCTCCCTAAAAGAATGGATGATCACATTCCTTTTCAATACAAAACATTTGTTTAGTGAACCATGGATGGCATCAAGTCCTCGTGACTTTTGGTCCGCTCGTTGGCAATTAATGATTAGTGAAAGCTTCAAAGAACTAGGTTTTTTACCTGTTAAGAATGCATTCGCTTCATTCGTCCCTAAGAAAATCGCAAATATGATGGGCGTGTTGGGTGCATTCGGTGTTAGCGCTTTATTGCATGAATATCTAATCATTGGTCAACTTGATATTTGGACAGGTGAACACTTCTTTTTCTTTATGATTCACGGTGTTATTTTCATCTTGTGGGAGGCTATTTTCGGTCGAGAAAATCAAAATGAAATTTCTAAAATCAAAAGGATTTTAAAATGGTTCTTATTGTTGATTATTTATTTGTCTGTTTTACCAGCATTCATTGAACCTTCGGGTAGACGACCTGATATATTTGAAATTCCTTCATTTTTTGCTAAATATTATAAACTAAATTAACAATGATTTCGAGAGGTATTTTAAATTATAAAAAAATTATTAACTATAATTTAGATAGAAATTAGATATAAATATAGAAATATAGAATAATTCATCATACATCAAAATGTTCATAAATGTCTTAGATCATTCATCATTTCACAAGCAATTTAAATAAAATTTATGCATGTAATTCATTTATCATTATTAGATATAATAAACAAATTTAAAATACAATATAAAATTTAAATTCAACTTTTTCCTCAAAATTCATAAAAAATAAACTATGTATCCTTATGTTATTAAAATTCAAAGACTGTGTTAAATTTATTTGCTATATCATTATCATGGAGAATCCTAAGAAGCTCTTGTTCTTTAATAAATCCTTAAAAAAAAATAATAACACACATATAAGTGATCGAATTCAAGAATAATTTTGTGAAGCGTTGAGCTTTTTGTTTCCCTTTATAAAACATACATACTTTTTTTCTGGTATCTCGCCAATATTTTTCGAATTGTCTTCGTGGAATTGTTTTTTTTTTTAAAAAAAAAAAAAATTCGATTGTGTGTATGATTAGAAATTCTCTTTAAATTATTTAAATTATTGAATTTTAAATTTTAAAATTTATCACAATATCCCGCAAGTATTTATTTAAAATAACTTTTTCAATTTATTTTTCAACATTTTTAATTTAAATTTGAGATAAATTATTTTATTAAAGAAAAGCTTAAAAGTTTCATCTGTATATGATAAATACACACCTTTTATTATATGTTAAAGAAAGTAAACCTATTATTCATGAAGTTTCTAATCAACTAAAGATTAATCTGAAAAATCACTTTTTTAATTATCATCACATAAATTAATATATTTAGTGGACTTTAAATAAGTTGAATTATCACCAAAGTTCTGAAAAGAACATTACATAAGTTGTAGTTTGCTTCCTCTTGTCGCGTTCTTATTGACTTACAGTTGACCTTTTTTCATCGATTTAGAATCAGAAGAAAACCTAAAGATAATTTAATCAGTTCAAGTGTACGGCATTAAGCTTTATAGATTTTTGAACTTTTGCAAATAAACCTTTCTTTTTTTTAAAAAACAATTTTGTAAATAAATAACTTGTCGCTTAATAATATTATTGTTATTGTACAGAGAACTCTCCGAAGAGAATAATAATTTAAATGAGAATGAAGAGGCTAACTTGTACATGTATCTCACTGGCAAGTAAGGTTGAGGGGCGTAGTCCTAATCCCATTTTGTCAAAAGTAGAACCTTTCGGTTTCGACGGAATTTCGATTTCGATGCCTGTCAAACCTCCGGGTTTTGCTCGAAACCTGATAAAGATGATGCTGTAGTGGAAATATTATTTAATCTCTGCGAAACAAATGACCCATAAGCTTGTATACTTGAAGGGCTATTTAAAAGTTTGTTCCAATGATTTTACATTCAATAATTTCGAATACTTAATCTTGTTATTTTCTTAGCTGCTTCATATATCAAAATCACTTTAGACCATCTAATTACTACCAGTAATTTTCAATTAATTCAATTTTATTAGAATCGATTCCATTCCTTAGGCAGCAGGAGTCAGGGCATTGGGCTATCAAGATGTCAGGTGGTCAAGGTGTCAGTATGGCAACATGTTCAAGACGCTAGACTGGCTTAATTAATTTTTATATATACGAGATGGAAATCCTTAAACAGCTCAATATTCACGCTCGCCCTTGTGATATTTCTTTGATTACATTTTCTTCGAAATCCTCCCGTTTTCACATTCGTGATAATTTTGATTTCGCTATTATAACTTTTTAACTTCGCATATGCAGCATCATTTATTATTCCCGATTCTATTAGTATTTAATAATTCAATTTATGTAATTATTTCTAATTTGCGCAGTTTTAATTAAATAGAATTTAGTACTTGGCATTTATAAGATTGATCAACGAAAGTATAGAGCGCTGACATTGAGGCAACACTGATTAATTTGATAATATTAAATAAATATTCTGTCATTGTTACTCATTTTACTCAATAAAAACCTTCTGCTTACATTTAAAATTGTTTATAAATACATAAACGAAAGAACTGAATACAACAATATCGTTAAAGGTTTATCACAAAATTTCAACAATAATAATCTATAATTCTATGATCCTGGAAATCAACGGTTCATAATCATATTTAGAATCTTGAACATAATCCTGACAGGACGGTCGATTATACTGACGCATAAAAATCCTGATGACAATTTATCAAATTTTTATGTTTAAATAAACCAACCTAACCTTAAATACACTAACTCAAATTTTACACTGATCTTAAGCCACCAGGATTTCTTGATCTTCGATAACCTTGACTAAGTGATCGTCAAGATTTTATGCTCGTCGTGTTTTCATGCGTATTAGGATTATGATATCGAGAATTTAGGTGTCGTTCTTATGGTGTCGAAATTTTATGGAACCTGTAGTTAAAAAGTTTAAAAAGTTATCCACTTAGGTTTGTTTGCTTCTAAAATTGATGAATTTTAATAAAAACTTTTTTATGTATTACAAATTTTCTATGTAAACAGATTTCAGTGAAAGTCTGCAGCTAATCATGATCAAGTTTTTCAGTATTTCAAAACAAATTTCCATACTCCTTATTTAACCATTAGAATACAATGATTATCATTGGTGTAGTATATTTTAAAGATATGTCAAAGTCTTCTTCTGCTTGCCTTAAGAAGTTTTGTAAAATAAATTGCTTGAATTGTTGTAGCTGTAAATATATCGATTGATCACGGCAATTTGGATACGTAGTAAACAAGAACTAAAAATGACAAAGACAAAATAATTTTGAGTTGCATAAGACGCGCTTCAAATGGTTATGGGATTTGTTTTTTAAAGCTTCAACAGAAGTTTGTTGAAAAATTGTCTCCATCAAACTTTCTTATTATCGTGCTGTTATACTACAGGACAGGAAGTTTATTTTAGAAGACATATTTTAATATAATTTGCTAAGTAAGATCATTTTGCCAATTTGTCCTCTGGTTAATTGACCTCCGGCCAATTTTTTCTCTAGCCATAATGTCTTCTGGCCAAAATGTTCCGTTGCCAATAGTAAATTGTTCACATGCCAAATCGTCATATTGTTCACTGGCCAATTGTCTACCAAAATTTAATATATAAATGATGGGTTTTTCTTTGATAGATTTTATATCATTTTTTTTAATCTTTCCGATAGTTTTCCTTTTCTTTTGACTTTATTTTAATTAACTAGCATTAGTATTTTTCGTGACAATTTTGATATACAGTAACAAACGGACTTCGGAAGTGTAGCCGGCGTTGAGGCGTTTCATTAAATAAATTTTACATCATACTTACATTAAAACCTTATGCTTAGCATTGCTTTAAGATTGCGGGGCAAACCTAATCCCATTTTGACAAAATCGGTTTCGATGATATGGTTTCGATGGGAATATTGGAATTCCTGTCGAATCCTCCAGGTAAGAGGTTGGAACCGGTTAAAGAATTTTGGCCGGTTCCAACCTCTACTCCATGTATTGCCCGGCAACCTTAATTACTTTGTTTATAAATATAAACGTAAAAATCACTTGCACAAATTGTTTTGATATGAACGAATCATATGCAAGTAGAAGTACAAAATACTTAATTCAGTACATTGCAATATATCATAAGATTCGAAATTATACAATGATTTTTAATTATATAAACTATTAAATATATCAAGATGTTAAATATTCTACGGTTAAAAGTTTCCAATATTAACAAAGAGTATTCGTTTATTATAATAGAAAATCACGAATCTACTTGATCTCTTTTATTTTCTTAGATTAACTTTTAAAATTTAAACACTTTTTTTCCGTGCTACATAAATCACGTCTCCATTCAAAAATTTAAAATTGAAAGATAACACTTATTCGTCAATGGGAAGATTTAAAAATCATAATTCAGACCGAAATTAACTTTACATTAATAAATTGAAAATTTGTTTATGTTGAATTATGCATCATTCGCAACATAGCTTTCTTCGATTATTTCTCGGAACTAAATCGAAGTATTCATCATTTAAAATACTCGTTTAGTCTTCTAAATATCTAATTTTCATTTTTTTTTTTTAAAAAAAAGAAAGAGGTTTGGATTAGATTATACGAAATGGTTGCGTATAAATTTTGTTCATTAAAAATATTTTTAGAAAAATAAATATAAGAGCACCTTGTAATCGAGACCTTATAATCCGAAGTTGAACAAAATGCTGACGTGGGATACGTATCTGATAAAATTTTTTTTGTAGCTAAGTAAGTTCCGACTATAAAATTATTTGTTTTTATATATGAAAGTTATTATTTTATATATGGTGTGAAAAAAAAAAAGATTTTTAAAGAATGATACCAATTTGATTTTCAAACAATTCAATATTCATTTTGATTTATCAAATCGGAGCAGTTCCAACTTCAAAATTATATGTGATCCCACATATTTCAAGGTAAACATTTTTTAATGATAAGAATATATGAACTCTAATAAATGACTCGGTTACATTCCATTAAAATGGATCGAATCGGATTTTTGTATTGATCTTTCATGGATCCTAGTAACGGATTTATGGAAATGATTTTGAAAGAGAAATGTTAGAATGGGTTAAATCCAGTAAAATGGTTTGTAAAGACAATATTACCGAGAATCGAAAGTGGTATAAAAAATTTTACTAATCATTAATTGCGTTAAAACGACTAATTTATTAAAACAAATATTAATGTGTTAGTACTCGAAAATAATTAAGAATTTTCTAATTGGTGCAACACTAATAATATTCTATTAAATTCTTACTATTTTCCTTTATTTAAATGTCAAAATTAAAATGCTAAAGAACTACATGTCTTTTCAAATATTCTATTTTTATGATAAGAAAATTGTTGAGAGGAAGGAAGGGAAATTTATTTTAATAGCATAAAACTTTCTTCCACAACTTTTAAATCATCTTAAGAAGAAAATACGAAAATTACGACAATAATAATTACTAATATCAAATTGAATTTCAGATTTATATATTGCGGATTATTGCGGAATGATGACATGATGAAATTAGAAGGAACTGAATTAATAAAGCTCTTGAATTATTCTCCAAACCTTAGTTCTCGGAATTGAAATTTATTTAATTAAAGACTAGAACCTTATGAGTTTTTACAGAAAATTCCTATAGGAATTCTTGAAAAAATTAATCAACACGAGTCCTTTATCTGAAAAAATTTGTGAGGAACTTTTTGATTATGATAGATTTTTCGGTAAAAAGCATCTTTATTAGAATTCCTTTTAAAATGGGATGATTTGAGTTTAAATGAAATTAATATTTGGAATAGTTAATTAATTTGGAGAAAAAGATGAAAAAAATGGAACAACGAAGAAACTATAGTTATAGAAAGAACCCTTCATAGATACATCTCATTAATTAGATAACAACCACTTAAACAGTCAATGTGTGATTCAATCCTAGTTAAAACAAATCATTGAGATATAACACAAATGATTAGTAATGAGGGAGATCAACTAAAGAATAGTTTAATATTCTCGTTCGTAATAGAATTACAATGCAGGATGATCAATATACTGCTATACATCTTATGGTCAACGTTTGGTATTGTCATGATAATTATTGTAATATACTTATTTTCAAATTGATATTTCAGAATCGGTTGAAGTAGATGATTATGAAGTGTTCTGAGATAGTAAAATGCATTATGATTTATGGTATTTTATAGTTATTTTGATTATAATAATTATATGCTTTGAAGTTTGTTGATTACTAAATTTGAATTAGTATCCTCTTCGAGCTGATTTGATGTCTTTATAGAAATATTGAAATAGTGGTGAATTACCGCGCGTCTGGTTTACATAAGTTGAATAAACCAATTGACAATCGATGATTTGATATATTTGATATCATGTTAAATGGTTACAGAATTACGTGATTTTACTATATGGAATAAATCATAACCATTATGCATTATAATAGTATTCAGAAAATTTTTATCTTAAAATACAAAATATTCATTAAGAACTCTCTTAAGACCAAATAGAATATGGGGCGAGAATTTGGTGAAATCTCTCTGGGGGTTTTAAAGTCTTGAATATCAAAATTGGGAAGTGCAAATAAACCATATACCTAACTCTCCATATGGTTAATTTTTGATTTCGTGTAAATAAACTGATTGAATAATAAATGTCTTCCTCTTTCCATCCTTTATGCAGCTGAAACCCATAAAAAAAAAATCTTAAAAAAACAATTTTGATTTTGTCAATTGTTTTAACAATGCATCAAATTGAAAGAGAAATCTGCAACATTAGTATGGTGGGGAACAATTAGAAAACAATGCATTACTCAACTCTAAGGCTTTATATCAATTGTTCGATAGTATATCTGAATCCCTAATTTGGAAAGGTTGTGTGACGAAACTAGTTTATACTAAATTGGGTTATTTGTTGAACGATCGGCTAAAGCGAATGACATATAAACATTAAAAATCGATCATCATAACAAAAAATTTTCTTTCCTAATTTATTTAATTTATAAATTTATAAATGTCAACACAATTTTTTCCCAAATTAAGTCAAAATTATATTGAAATATTAAATGATGACGAATATTATGATATAACAATTGAAGTTGGAAAAGATCCAAATGTAAGAATATTTCGGGGTCACATGATTATTCTGTGCTACCGTTCTCCATATTTTCGACGTACTTTGGCAAATAAAAAGAATAATGAAGAGACCCTAACAAGTATTAAATTACCAAATATTTCACCAGAAGACTTTCAAACGATTTTGAAGTAAGTTGATTAACCATGTATATTTCTCTCTTTTGAATATTGAGAATATTAAATCATCCTTTCATCTTAATATAGGTATATTTATGGTGGAATTATATCATTAGATGAACAAGAAATTTCAAACACTTTAAAAGTAATGCGTGCTGCTGATGAGCTTCATCTTCAAGAATTGGTTGAATATTTACAAAAATATCTTATTGAAAAAAAAAATGTATTGTTGGAACAACATTTTGAGCTCGCTTATAGAACAAGCCTTCAATCTAATTCATTTTTAGAACTTCAAAAATTTTGTACAAATATTATGGCTAAATCACCAGAAAAGATATTCAAATCACTTGACTTTACTTCGCTTCATGAAAAATCTTTAATTTCACTTATTAAAAGGGATGATTTACAAATGAAAG